TTTGTCTGTGCGGAAAATGAGAGGGAAGAACTCATATCTGACAATCATTATGGCACTTGATGAATTACTGGAAAGGTGCTCACATACTACTTTGATGAGAGTGGTAAAAAAATTAGCTTTCCCAGCCTAACTGACCACAGAAAAGCCAAAAAAGATGCCCTTGCTGGATGTTCACCCTTTTCTATCTTTGCCCTGGCAACTTTCTTTCAAACTAGCATAGATTTTCTGCAGACCATGCACACTGAAATGTTCTGCAGACAGCCTCTTTTTCATATACACTTTTATTGCTTAAATATAAAGATGTGTAAGATTAATATATTAACAGAAGAAATCCTACAACTTCCTCCACTCTAAGAAAAATCAAATACAGACATTGGGTCAGACCCACAGCTGGTATAAATTGATGTTGTTCCATTGAAGTCAATGGAGCTGTCATTTTACACTAGCTGAAAATCTAACCCATAATATACACATATATTAAAAACAAATCATAAATAAGCAACAGAAAACAATGAAAGCAGCTGTAGATTTGTTTCAGGATACAGAAGTACATTGAATAATATAATACATCATCTATAATGTAAGTCACAAACATTGGACTTAATCAAATATATTAACATTAGTCATAAACCTCTAAAAAGGGCTGGATGGTTTCTGTCTTCTTATTACAGTGATAAGTTATTTCACTTAAACCATTTTCTACCAATATGAGATGCTCAACAGTGTGATGGATTTCCATTTTTATAAACTTTGTCTCTGAATGGTATGGTGTACCCCGATCACAGGAACTTTTTGTTAAAAGGTTTTAGAAATATCATTTAAGGCAGCTATAAGAACAAGAATAAAAATGGCTGGATCTTGATACCAATCACTACTTGATGTAGGGTTGTTATAATTTCTTATACAGTTGGAATGTTTGGCTATTTGGACACTTGTAAAACATACACAGTCTTGTGCCATTTGGTGGACCTCTGTTTCAGAACCAGTACACTGGATACCGCTCTAAGGATACTATGAGTGTTCTTAATTCCTCCTTCAGGCAAAGTGTCATCATAATTTTTGCCATAATTGCTCCATCTCAAATTTTAGTGGTGAACTTCAACACTGGTAGTACAGAATCTGTATCAGTCTGTTCCAGAAACGTGCTGAGCATTTGCAATCTGATTGCAGTGGAGGCTGCAGGTGACTTAGCTCTATTCTGGATCAGGCCTTATTGGTCTGCATCCCAGCACTGTTTTGCATATTTAAAGACAAAATTCTAATCAGAGATCTATGTGGTAGAACTTTAATCTATTGTTCTCCCCCTCCCTCTTTTCTAATTATTAATTCCTTGCTATTCTGTATTTAACTGTTTCATCATTCACAACTGAATAAAAATAATTATATATTGGTCACTCTTTATTTTATGTATACTTCTAAACTGATCTACTGAAGAATGCCAGCTAATTTAGCCCCATTTATTATATTGAATTCTTTACCTGTAGCTATTTCTACTGTTGTGAGGTATATATACAGGTTGACCATCTCTAGTCCGGCAACCTAGAGACCTGACTGATGCCGAACCAGATAATTTGCTGAACCACAGGAGGTCAATATTGTCCAGCAGCATTAGCAACACTTCCACTGCTTACTGGGCTCTTAGAAAGCATTTATGGCTAAATTAGAGCTAAACAACAGCACAGAACACCGAGAGCCAGGACTGGTGGATGTAAATAAATTTTATGGGGCTGCAGGAAACTTGGCCATACCCATGATAAGTGGACATCTGGCTAACAAAATCATGCCAGACCACGAATGTTACCAGACCAGAGAATGTTGGACTAGGGAGGTTCAACCTGTATATACTTTACTCTCTTTTTTCTGTGCAATGGCTGCATTAAAGTATATTTGAGAGACTCACTCAGAAGGGTTTGTCTCAAGTTGAGGTAGTATATGAAAATCTTCACAAAGTCCTGAGCATTTCAAAACACAGGGAGAGAGATTCCTCCATACTTCTGGGTAGTGAGCATATTTTCTGTCTAGTGTCATCGCTATTATACCCTTTGAACATCAGCCTTTAGTGTCATTGCTAAGAGTGCCAGCATCCAGGGACATGACTCCTTAGAAAAACAGAACTGCAATTGGTGCCACCCTGCTGAGCTTACACTTCCACAAGCCCAGTTTGTGCCTTTAGGCCTAGCCCTGAGAAATGAGCAGTGCAAAAGCCCTTTGCCCATAGTGGCAGCACCAGTGGGTTTTGTACCTCAGAGGGTTTTTGTACACTGCAGCTGGGAGCATGCTTCCCAGCACACGGAGCAGACATGCTAGCACTGCTTCTGCTAATGCAGTAAAACTCATATTCACCCCTCTCATATTTAGAACCATGAAACAGTGTTAACATGGTCTTACTCTTCTCTACTTCTCTACACAGATGCATTAGACACAGACAGAAGCTGTAAATTAGATAATTGGATCCTAAATTTCACATGCAAAAAAATTGTGTTTGTAAAACTGTCCCACATTAGACACAGAAACAAGCTGCAAAATTGTGGGTGAAAAAATGAAGGCCCATTTTATGTAGTGCACAAAAGTGAAAAGTACACACACTTTACTTAGAGAGCAAGTATTTGTTATCCATTAGCATTTACAGGGCTGGTTAGAACCTTGAATTTCCTTTCTGCAGTAAACTGACATTTTGAAAACAAATTTTGTTCTGAATCAGAACAAAAAGCCAAATTTCCAAATTTGATGTGAAAGAGAAATTAAAAAAAAATTAAATTTGGGACCATTCCAATCACTTCATTTTACTAATGGTGAATTGTTTGTTTTAATACTGTTAAAATGCTTCATTTCAAAAATTTTGAAATGTTTCATTTTGATAAGGTAAAACATTTTTACCTTAGTTGTTCAGTTCATTTTGGCTTGGGCTTTCACTTGACTGGGAAAGGTCTTACCGTATTCCTAACAAAACCCATTTGTACAGATGTCTAAGACTTGAACTTGGCTGTCATGCTCTAAGAACCATCAGCGGGGTTTGTTTTTCAATCATAGGCAGATTGTTTGTTTGTATGAAGAGGCCATTTCTACAATTTTATTTCTGTCAAGCTCCCAGTAAGGTCAATGGGAATTTGATTTGTGCAAAAGCTGCAGGTAGGGTTGCCAACTGTCCAATCACACAAACCCAAACATCCTTGTTCCACCCTGTGATGAATAGGAGGAGTGCTGGCCAGCACCCAGTGACTAAAGGGTTAAACTCAGGTAGCTAGAGGGTGTTGGCAGAAAGCCAGGAAAGCCAATGGGAAAGACTATTGAAATGTAAATTAATATAGATACTTAACTGCTGTTCCTTTGTGTGAGTTCTAAGTTAGGGCTGAAGGAAGCTGAGATGAAGTAACCAAACAGAATTACCATGCCTACAAGAAATATTGGGTATGGGAATGAACTGGGCCTTGAAGTATGGATCAGTACAGATCATGAGCACAGAGAGGAATGTATGTTTAGTTGTGATCAGGGTAATTTTTTTTGTTTTGTGTTTGGTTAAACTTCTCTGCATAAAATCCACGAGTCTCCCTCCCCTCACTCACTATACCTAAGCTGTGCGAAAAACAGCCATTTTTTCTTTGTTTTAATCTGCTCCGTTGTTCTGTAACACCTAGCAACCAAGTATATCTTTTTGTTTTGTTTTGTTAATAAAATCATCTTTTTTAATGGCGATGATTTGATTCTTGTGTCCTGAAAAGTAACAGGAGGTCTGTGTGTGCATGCCTCTCCTGAGAGATCAGCTCTCAGTGACACACTCTGCACACTCTGTTTCCGGGGGAGGCGGGGGGCGAGGGGGGGGAAGGGAGGAAGGGATTCAAGCTCTCTTGTGGCAAAAGAGTTTGGGGTACCCCTTGAGAAGAAGTTCAAGTGTTTCTTCCTGGCTTTCAGGGGTTTTCTTAATTCACTTGATGGTGGCAGCCTATCTCCAAAGGCCAGAGAATCTATAACCTTGAGGAGTTTTTAAGTAGAAGCCTATAGAGGCAAGGTATTTTAAGGTGTCTTGTGGGCCCCCACTTTCTCCATTCAAAGTGCCAGAACAGCCCTGCCACACCCCATGCCCAACCCCTTTCCTGAGACCCCACCCTGCTCACTCCATCTCTCCTCCCTCTGTCACTTGCTTTCCTTATCCTCACTCACTTTCACCAGACTGGGGCAGCGCATTGGGATATGGGATGGGGTGCAAACTCTGGGCTGCAGCTCAGGAGTTTGGAGTGTGTGTGTGTGTGGGGGGGGTGTCTCCAGGATGAACCTGGGGTAGAGGATTGGGGACCAAGAGGCATTACAGGTTCTGGAAGGGAATTTGGGTGTGGAAGTGGGCTCAGGGCTGGGGCAAGAGGTTAGAGTATGGGAGGGAGTTTCGAATGTCAGATAGGACTAGGGAACTGGGGTGTGGGAGACTGTGCAGGCTGCTGGATTTGGCCAGGTGAAGCTTACTTCGGATGGCTCCCAGTCATTGTCCCAGCAGGGCTAAGGCAGGCTCCCTGCTTTCTCTGGCCCCGTGCTGCTCTTGAAAGTGGCCTGAAAGTCCCTGTGACCCCTGGGGAGACATGGCTCTGAGTGCTGTCCCTGTCCCTGTAGCTCTCATTGGCTGTAGTGCCTGAACAATGGGAGCTGCAGAGTCAGTGCTTGGGGTGAGATTTAGGGAGTTGCAGGGACGTGCTGACCACTTTCAGGAGCAGTGTGGTACTGGGCCAGGCTAGACAGGAAGCCTGTGATACCCTTGCTGTGCTGCTGGACTTCTAGTTGCTAAGAATCTCCTGGACTGGCTGCAGTAGCCTCTGGGAAATAGAGCCTGATTCTGGGAGCCTGATTCTCCCAGCAAAACTGAGGGGGTTGGCAACCCTAGCTACAGGGCACTAGATATTACAAAATCTTGGCTAACTACCCCAGAATGATAAATAGCCTTACAAGAAACATCCTGTCACATCATTGTTACTAGGTGGTCAAGGGCTTCCATCATCTTCCAGTGACAACTTGCTTTACTTTTGCCTGCAGAAATTTCTGGGCCTCCACATCCGGTGAAGAACGTGGATTTCACAGAGGGCTAAAATGTCAAAGGCTCTTGAAAGCTGGTCCAATTTCCACTTTGCCAGACATGATGATGATGACTGAAGTGAGAACTAATTTTGGATAATGAGCAGTCAGCAAGAACAGAGCCTCTTAGAGGTATCAGTTGAGAATACAGTTGAACCCACTTAAGTAAGATTTGGATCGTCAGAAAAGCCATTTTCATAGGACAAACCACAAGGAGCCAATTATGGTTTCCCCTTAGGTTGAATTAGTATTTTTGTTCCACTAAAGGACAATTGCAATTGCTCAAGAGGACTGTTGCGATGATGCTAGACTATAAAGCCTTGCTAATTAGATTTAAAGAGGTTAATGTGGTGATTCAGGTTACAAGATGCTGGTGGGTTTTATTCTCTACTTGTCTCACACAATGGCATCAAGAAAGGAAATCCATATTAATGTTTTGCTCTTTAAAAGATCAAAATATTCATATTAGCATTAAATTGGTATTGTATTGCAAGATAATCAGTTTTGTGCAGTAATATCTGGTTCATAAATGTAATCATGATTAAGTTGGATGAACTGAGTTGCAAAGATATGTGGCAGAAATATTGTTTTGGTGAACTTCGTTTAACTGGAATGGCTACCTAATTAGGATGAATTAGAATCTATCAAAGCATCCTGAGTGAAGAGACTACTGCTGCACATAGAATTCAAATGGATGAGTTCATTCAGAACTTGCAAATACAGAACGCTATATCTTTATGGTTTCTGCCTCCTCACAGTTAGAAGAAGGTCTGAGTAATTCCCAAATATGAGACAGCAGATTTTCTCATCTTTAGAATCATACACCT